TTAGGGTCACGGAGATGTTCTTCCAACTGAAAGAAATGAATGAAAAGGTATCTTTTATAAAGGACTCCTTACTGTCTTTGGACAGCCAGGTGGGACACCTGCAGGACCTCTCTGCCCTGACAGTGGACACCCTAAATGTCCTTTCTGCTGTTGACACCTTACAAGAGGATGAGGCGCTCCTGGCCAACAGAAAGCTTCCGACTTGCAGAAAACCCCCCCACAGCTGGAGCAATGTCATCTGTGCAGAGGTTCTAAGCAGCATGGAGATGGCTGGGGAGAAGAAATACCAGTATTATAGCATGCCTCCTTCTTTGCTGCGGAGCCTGGCCGGAGGCCGGAATCCCCTAAGAGTGCAGAGGGGACCTCTTGTTGAGATTTCAGACAGTCAGAGAGAGACTTCAAATGTGAGAAATGACCAGGAAGAGCAAGAAACAGAAAATAGTATATTTGCTTCTTGCCTTGACAAGCAGGCACACCCAAAGTATGGCCAATTTCTTCTGGTCCCTTCTTATCTAAAGCAAGTTCCTTTTTCTGCAGAAACTGACTTGCCTCTGTCCAGACCATCTGCGGAAGTGGCCGCAGGTGTGCTGGCACCTGAACAGGTCACCCAGAATGAAGTCCCTGTGCATCTGACGTGGCAGACCCCAGTTGTCTCAGCGCAGGCCTCAGTGGCTGAACACAAGGAGCAATATGAGCCAATCGCTCAGATACCAGCCAGACAAGATAGGGGAGAGCAAGTTCTAACCACTTTGATTTGCACACCTGCATCCCTGAAAGTGACCTCCCCCCCTTCCCAAGCCGAGAGCATGCACACTGGGGGTGGATATGTGAACTGGGCATTTTCAGAAGGTGATGAAACTGGTGTGTTTAGCATCGGGAAAAAATGGCAAACCTGCTTGGCCTCCACTAGTAATCATAACTCCAGCGAGAGTGGACAATGCCAGAGGCAGATCTGGGGCAGATCCCTCTCTGATAACTCAACAGGACTGGCCTGGAATAGTGATTGCTCAGAGGAGGGACCAAGACTTCAGCCCTACACATCCTTTTGGATCAGTCCTCTCCGCAGAGACAGGCCCCTCTTTCGGAGTCAGAGTTTGAGATTCCACAAGGAGAAGATGAAGACCTGTAAGATTAAAAGTAAGAAGTAAACCCTTTGAAAAAATTCTTTGCATTCCTGCTATTTTTAAAGTCTATGACTTTGGAAAAAAATCTTTATTGATTTCAGAGAGAGGGAGAGAGAGATAGAAACATTAGAAATATTAATGATATGATGAGAGTCATTGATCGGCTGCCTCCTGCACACCCCCCACTGGGGATTGAGCCTGCAACCCGGGCATGCGCCCTGACCGGGAATCGAACCTCAGTGTCCTGGATCCTAGGTCGATACTGGGCCATGCCGGTCGGGCAAAAGTCTATGACTTTTGCCTGGATTCTCATTCTCCCCATTCTCTCATCCTTTCAGTAAAACAAAATAGTTCCCCATACCATCGTAAACTTTCTCATGTAAACCATTTCTTACAGATCGCTCAAAGTCTTCAGAGATGGGGCAGTTGGCGTGGATCAAAGCAAAAGCGCTAACCAAGGACAGGAGATCGTTGAAGAAAAAGAAGGAAACACAGGGACTCCAGGTGCCAGTAAGTGTCATTTATGTTTTTGGCAATTGAGGTAGTGGCCACTCGTAGCTTGTTAGCTCTTTATCCTAAAGTGTCTTATACACAAAATTACCTTGTGGAGATATAAGTTTTACAAATTTAAGAGTCACTAGACTAGATGTGCCACACTTCATGTATCAGCTCACAAGTTGAAGGACATTTGTCTCATTTTCAGTTTTTGGCTGTTCCAAACAAAGCTGTTGTGAACATTTGTGCACAAATCTTTGTGGGGATATGAGTTTTAGTTTCTTCCTGGTAAGTTATACATATATATACATATATATATCAGTAAGTTATATATATATACAGATATACACATATATGTATTTTTAATCCTCACCTGAGGATATTTTTCCATTGCTTTTCAGAGTGAGTGGAATGGGGGAGAGAGAAAGAGAGAGAGACATTGATTGGGTGCCTCCCATACGTGCCCCGACTGGGGCTGGGGATCGAGCCTGCAACTGAGGTGCGTGCCCTTGGCCAGAATCAACCCAGGACCCTTCAGTCCGAGGGCCGATGCTCTAACCACTGAGAAAACTGGCCAGGGCTCTGGTAATATTTAGGAGTAGAACGTCCGAGTCATATGGTAAACAGTTGTTTAATTTCAGAAGAAGCTTCCAAACTGCTTTCTAGAGTGATTGCATCCTTTTACACTCCTGCCAGCTTGGGTGAGAGTTTCCGAGCGTTGCAGCAGCCCACATCCTCACCAGTCCTTCACGCTCAGCCCTTTCCGTTTTAGCTCCAGCGGGAAGCACAGCCCTCAGCCTTCGGTGAAGTGAGAAAGTGCACCCTGCGAGCCGGAGGGGAGCTGGCTTTTTTTGTCTCGTGATCAGTTCGGTTACAGTTTATCTGTTTTATTGATCTTTTCAAAGAGCCAACTCTTAGTTTCATTGATTTTTCTCTGGGTTCTATTGCATTGATTTCTGCTCTTTATTACTTTCTCTGTTCTGTTTACTTTGGGTTTAATTTTCTCTTTTTTTGTAGTTTGTTAAGGGAGAAACTTTGGTTATTGATTTGAGACTTTCTCCTTTTTCAAACACAGGCATTTAGTGCTATAAAATTCCTTATATTTCTTATAATCATTGTTTTGGCTATACCCTACAAATTCTGATGTAGCATGTTTTTATTTTCATTTAGTGAATCTTTTTATTTATTATCAGGAAGCCTTAGATCTGAATTAGCTGTTCTGCAGGACTTCACCTTTCATGGTTTTAATGCCCTGCTTCACTTTTCTATTCTACATATATATATTTCTCATATAATAATCCCAGTGCATTTTTTAGCATTATTTATAAGTTTAATTGTTTTAAATTGTATTTTTCCATTACAGTTTAAATTTCGTATTAGTTTCAGGTGCACAGCACAGTGGTTAGACAATCATACTTTACAAAGTGCTCCCCCTGATATTTCCAGTACAACCTGGCACCCCACAAAGTTATTACAATATTATTGACTATATTTCCTACGTGTAGCTTTACATCCCTGTGATCTCAATGCATTTTTAAAAGCACTTCAGCTCTTTTTTAGAATGAGAAGCAGAAGCAAAGAGATAAATATTGAGAAAATGATGTGAAATCACCTTTTGGGAGAGAGATGCGGCTTGATAAAGAAGAGTCAGGGAAAATGACACGAGTTACTGAAATCCCATGAAATAATGAATTAAAGTAGATTTATTTTCTGAAATAGTTAAAAGTGGCCAGATTTCAGCTAAGAATTGCAACTGAATTCAAGTACTAATAACTTGCATTTGTTTATTGCTTTGTAGTTTATCAGTTCATCCGTTTTCTTCTCTGCCCTTGGGAAGTACACAGGGCACCATTATTATTGGCTATCTATTATTTTAATGATAAAGGCAATGGGGCCCAAGTTCATGTAGCTTCTAAGTGACAGAGCTAGAATTTCAACACAAGTTCTTTTGGATCCAGGCTTTGTTTTGTTTTTCTTTATACCAGTGGTTCTTAAGTTGTGGTCTCCTATCAGCATGGAAACTTAATAGAGATTCCCATTTTCCCTCCCCCCGGACCTATTGAGTCACAGATCCTAGGGGTGGGACCCAGTGATCTGTGGCTTAACACAGTCCTGGGTGGTTCTGATGCACACTTAAGTTTGAGAAGCCCGGCTGCCCACCCTGGCTCTCAATCATGACTGCAATTAGCAGAGTCGCGGCTCCTTGTGAACTGTCAGCGTGGGTGATGGGAGTCCAGAGCTTCCCAGTTATTCTAATGTGCAGCCTATGTTAACAACCAGTGCTCTTCACCAGGGTCCCCCTATTAACCTAACTCAGTGTTTTCAGGTTAATCTCACTGTGTGCCAACGAGTGTCTTTCTTCCCAGGTCATTACAGTCAATGCCTGCTTTCACGGTGACCAATCGAATTCCGAGCCAGGAGAAAATAACATCCCAGGAGAAGAGTGCAGCAAGAACTGGCTGACAGTGTCCCAATTTCGTCAGTTAAGTATGTAACAGTGTGCACTGTTGGACCCCAAAACCTCTGGTAGAGTCTCCTCAAGCCATCGTCTTTAGACCACGAGCGGTCCCTGATGTTCTTTCAAGTGGAGATGAGGGAATGAGAGGGCGGCAACACCCTTTTAGGAAAATACCTCTTTTCTGTTTTTAATTTTTATGAAAGGGACACAATTTCCATGGGTTTAATGAAATAGGTGTCAGAATCTAGAAAAGAAAAATTAAGATTTAGATAGTTGTTCTATTCAGAGTTGTTGAGCCTGACTCAGTGTTCGTTTAGTCTGATTTATGGTGTGTGTGTGTGTCTAATTTTATAGTCTTAAGGTTCATGTGACATTGATATGGACAGTTGCACAGTGCTCAGTGGATTGAGTTGTAGTTTTTTTACTACTGTCCACAAATAATGCTTATTCTGTGGGCAAGTATCTTAAGCTTAATAATCATGGTGTGTGTGGAGGATAGAAGACGAGTCAACCAGCTAGGAATGAAGACTATGATCTAGGCATAGAATGTGAAATAAGCCTGGGTAGGTAAGATGAAGGCAGACTATGAACAGAATTAAGAGCAATGATCAGAACTTTGAACTTCTTGCATTAGGTAACAAAAGAATTTACTAATTCTTAAATTGAAGGGACTGTGTGATTAAAAACTCATGAAGATTTAAAATTATTTGAGATACCAAACTTAAGGTACAAATAGACATTGTTTTGAAATCCGTATTATGTATATATGATGTATTTTTGTAAATTATCTGATATTTATGTTATTATATATCATTCTTACTTAAATTATTTATTTTTTAAATGTTTTTTAAAATTTATTTTATTGTTGCAGTATTATAGATGTCTCCCATTTCCCCCCCCATTTGCCCTTCTCCACCCATCTCCCACCCCACCCCAGGCCTTCACCTGGCTATCATCTGTGTTGGGTTATGCATATATGCTTATAAATTCTTTTCCACCCTCCTTCCCGACATACCTCTGAGATTAAGTTATTTTTTAATTGAGGTATAGTTGACATGTAAGGTTGTATTGGTTTCAGGTGTATAACACAGTGAGCTGAGAATTTTATTTTTCTGAAACCTGTCCAAGTTGAGTTAATTGAAAAAGAATTTAAAAATAAGTAAAAGTTTGAGGGTAGGCAGATGCCCTGTCAGGTAGCTCTCTTTAAATAAGAGTTCTGAGGAAATTAACAATGAAAAGGGAAAGTATATTTTTTAGCTTTTTCTATAGGTATTTTATTTTAATTATAGTACTCTGCTATCATGGCAGCCATAATTATCATAATTTTATGATATTACAAAAATATAATATATGGAATTTTGTGATTTTCTAATAGGTTTTTTGTACTTCTTGTATACTTTTTTTTTCTAGCACAAAATCATTAGGAAAAAAAGTACAACTTTTATCTTCTATGCTTAGTCAGGGACTCTTAATCAGTATTAGTCTCGGAATTAATCCCACTACTATGTACCTACCCTGTAGGTACCAGGCATAAAAAAAAACAATAACAATGGTGATTCTCATCATCCTTTTAAAGAAAGGTCTACAAATTAAACCTCTTTGCTGCCATTCCTTTCTATTTTTCTTTTGTCTTTTTTCTATTTCTTTCTTTTTTTTTTTTTTTTTAAGTAGCACACTATGATGCTTGATACAGTTGTTAAGGAAGGATTCCCAACAATTTGGAACTAAAATTTCACTTATTTTAAGTAAAGCCTGGATGGTAGGGTGCAAGGGAAGGTGGGTGTAAAAAAACATAAAGAGGCATTACTTTATAGGACAAGCTAATGTTATAAATGTCAAAGTAACTATTGAAGAATAGAAATAGAGCATATAGCTTTCAATCACTTGAGCAAATTAGGGACAAAAGACCCTTGATAAAACTTACTCAAAAGAGAAAAACCCCAACTATATTCAAATTTAGATGAATACACTTTGTTCAGATCTTTCTATTTGAAAGCAACACATTTTCATGTATTCATGTATCCTCTAATTTTTTTCTTCTTTTTAACAAGATCTAGAACCTAATATACAGCAGAAAAAGAAAACTAAAGAAATCAAAGGACACCCTGTACAAGTCAGTGATTATCTAAAGCAGTCTCAAGAGGTAAAACCTTTCATTTGATACTTTATAAAAAAAAAAAAAATTCATTCATACAACATAATTCCTTGACTGGGTCTGTTTCCTTTTTAAATATTTTTATTGATTTTGAGAGAGTGGAAGAGAGAGAGAGAGAGAGAGAGAGAGAGAGAGAGAGAGAGAAACGTAGACAGGAGATGGAAACCTTGACCGGCCGCCTCCTGCATGCGCCCTCCGGGAATGAACCGATCCTTTCCGGTGCACTGGATGCAGCCCAACCAACTGAGCCACGCCGGCCAGGGCTGTTTTAGCTTTATGCCCCTTAATTGGCTTCTATGTATTACATTGAAATCTTTACTTTGAATAGTTGCTCACCCCCCCCCC